TAAAAGCCTTGTTGATGACAAAATTTCTCAAAACCTGTACAACCATCTCTTATAAGAGCAGTTAACTCATTTACAAGATACCTATACGAAACCAAAATGAAAATACAATTACAACAGAATCAATAGAAGCTGGGAATTTTTCAGATTCCTTTTTATTGAAGCCTGCCCCCTTGCCCCTTGGCCGTTCTGGGGTCCATGTACTGCTGCCTGATTTTTGGGGGTTTTCGTTAGACTGTAACTTTTCTGCTATATAATTTTTTCACTGTTGTAATATCTACTAGATTTGGTTAACTAGTTCTTAATTGAAAATAAAATGAAAATGAATTGAAAAACACCATTGTCAGTTGAAAAATCTTTTCATCATTTTCAAGGACTCAGAGTGATTAATTTGCAATAATCTTTAGTTGAGGACATTCTCCTGAATCAAAAAGGTTATTGGAATAATGATTTCCGGCAAAAAAAACAAACCGGATTTGATAATGCAAAATTCAACTGCTTCCCTATTTGACCCCGAAACTGCGAAGGAGATCTCTATGTAAACAAGGGCCTAAATTTATGTGATGCATTGACTTGATATGAATTTATCAAATAATATACATGTATTTCTAACATGCTAAATGGTGTTAACAATAGATTGGATGATCTTACGCCCTAAAACAAGATCAGTTCCCTGTTTCGTGTTTTTTCCTTGCTGTTTTTGAAGATTTCCTATTTGACCCCAAACAGCGTTTTCCCTATTTGAGAAATCTTGTAACCTTGGTGCAGGATGTTTGAAATTTGGATTGATATGAAGAGAGTGTGTATTTTTCTTGGCGATTACTACCTTTTGCTATTTATTTTGAATTAAAACGATGCTTTTTTAACGAGTTTTGTCTATTTGCTGTCGTAGCTACGGAGGAGCCAAGCCTCAAGCTAACGTAGAAGCAAAACATTGCAATTTATACTGCTAAAAATTACTGTAGTTGAATTAAAAAAGCATCTAAAAGGTAGTTTGAAGCATGCCGAATCCGATTTTGAGGTTTGTTTTGAGATAGCAGTCCAATATATGGAGTTATTAACGAATTCCCTATATGACCCAGAATTTCCCTTTTCGACCCCGTTGCCTATTTGACCTCGAGCGCTACCAACATGATTGCGAATGTGGCCTACTTTTCTCAAAGGAACACCACTGTGTCGTAAATAAAATCTTGTTTGAAAGATACTTTGTTTTGCAGTCAAAACTACTGAATAAAAATCCTAAACAATGTTAAAATCCTAATGATCTGACGTTCAAATAGGCCCACTAAACTTGAATAGGTACTGGAAGTTTGCCATTGAGTTCTAAAGTGTGACGTCATCGAAAACCTATTTTAAGAATTTTTGAAATTTAACCACATAAAATTAAAGATTACCATGAAATACTTTCAAATATGCAAAATTGGCCAAATATGTCTAAAATCTGCTGAGATATGGCCAATGAAAGATTTGAAGTTTTCTAACGAATCACTGTTATTTTGGCTCTGTTCACAAAGTTATGAACAGAGACCAAAATACAGCGGTTTGATGGGAAAAGAGCCATATCCCTGAAAATTCGTAACACAATTGACTCATTTTTCGTATTTAGAGGTATTTCATGATGCTCTTTTAGGTTATAGGATCCAAATTCAAAAATTTTAAAATTAGATTCTTGTGACGTCATCGCTTTCGAACTTTATTGTGGCGGAATCGCGGAAACTTATCGGCCAACGGGCGTTGACCTGACTAAACCAATATCCGCAACATAACCGCCATCTGGAAATCGACCACTTTCGCGGTAAAATTTTGGTGCAAATCACGCTTTCTTATTCCTATCAATAAATTTAATGCAAATCCTTCGGGGTCATTAACAGGGAGAACCATCCCTGTTCTGCTAACCGCCATTTTCAAATTAGTGCGGCGTGCATGATTAACAGGCTTCTCAGTACGTTAATATCAATAGCAAGTTAAAGCATACTTTGCCAATCAAAATAGATAAACTCATGTCGAATGGAAGGTGTAATTTACTTTCTGCTTAGTAATCTCTTTAAAAACCTCAAGACATGTATGTACATACCAACTGAGAGTTTCCCATGAAGTGCGGCAAGTGTGCAGAACAATATAATTTCCAAAACCGATCGACCCATTTTCGTTGTTAGCACGATACTCTTTTATGATTTCCAAACAGAATGACATTCAATCTTTAAACGATTAACTAAGATGTCTGATTTTCAGGATGTGTGCTACTGACAAAAAACCCCTAGAATAACACGGTCAACCCTTCCTCGATCGAAGATACCGCCCACTTGCCTTTATTCTTTTTACCGAACAATTGTTAGCGCCCAGTCCACAAACAGCCATGAAAACAAATGGTGTCTCATGCTATTAATAAGTCATTCTTTTGAAGGTTTGGAATCCTAGAAGATGTCAGAAATCTGTTACACTCTTTCTCTGTTAGAACGATTTTTATCAGAACACGAGCATCAAAATTGGTCATAAGTTAAGAAAAATTAAGTAAAAGCTGAGCTACTGTAAAATGCAATTTTGAACAATGTTTTATCTCAAATTCGAGGACTTTGAATTTCGGTGAATATTCAAATTTATCCGCAAATTAAGGACTGAACACCTCCCTAGAGCGGAAAAGCTAGCAATCACACTGCTTACATTCTATTAATTTAAGAACAAATAAGAACATTCCAGGCTAAGATTTTCGAAAAAATTGGCTGAAGGAAAAGAAGAGACAAAGATTTTTATCTGATTTGAAAAGCTAAATTTTAAAAGTACCATTCGCACACCAGTTACCTGAAAGGCGTGACACCAAAATCCAGTTATCAGTAACAACTCCCCCAATCCTTGCCCTTGAAATCCGCTCCAGCTGCCGATTCTTCACTTCATATATTCTCAAAAATTTCCAAGCAGTTTCTTTTCCTTCGACAGCTGATTTTTCTATTTTTGTAACCATTTGAGAGTTTGTCTGTTAGTAGACCTTATGAGTCAGGTTTTGGCCCCAGAAAAAACTGAACTACTTTTTTTAGCATCAAGTTTATTCTGGACCACGTTATTCGATCAATTGCCAAATATATGCATTGTACAACTTGGAGAACTGCCTATTCCTTCGATCAAATTCCCATATCCAATGTTCTTTATGTCTTCTCCTGTAAAAACCTACTAGCCAAGCTTAGGTAAGGGCATTTTTTAAGAGAATACTAAGCACACAAACGTATAAGATGGTTGACTACATTTTTGCAGATTTTCTTTAAAACAAATTATTTTGCTCTAAAGCGAAGGGAAGGTCTCGCAGCCACCGGTCTTGCCGGCCCTGCTGTCAAATAAGATATGTTGTTTAGCAACTTGAATCCATAGGGCTCTGCAGAAGGAGGCAAGCATACCTGAAAGGGATATGGGGGCAGGACACCCTCTGCATACATATAATTCAACCAAGCTTTTCGTATTTCAGGTAAATTTGGTATCAAACGCCCGCTTGAGAAAGGATATTGTGACGCCCCTGATAAGCGCAAGGCATTTTATAATCACTCATAAACATTAGAAAGCTGAATCAGGGGCCGTACAAATGGGGAGCCGCAAAAAATTGAGTCCCTTATTTGTAATATGCCTTTTTATGTTTAAAGAGACGATAAATGTCCCTTGAAATATGGCGTCCATCTCAATTAGCATTTCTTCATTCACGTCTCCTTGAAATAACTAAATATTCTTGAAACCTATGACATAATAAAAGTTCGTTGGATTATGTAAGGCTTTCATTGGATGTTGATGAGGTATCCAAAAAACAATGGAGGCCTTTGTATATGAGTCAGGACGGTAAACGACGGTACTGAAAACGAAAAAATCTTGTTCTGAGAGTGTCCGTTTCCAAGTGAACGCGATGTAGCCTGGTGCCGGGTGACAGTGCGCGAACAAGAAGGCATCCCGTCGCAGTCACAAGCTCTCATGAACGATGTGGTGCGGTGGGAACCAGTGGTGGGAAACTAGCTACAGATGGTGCGCACGTTCGCAACAACCTTTCCCGGGGCTGGTCGCGACTAACAAATGGCTTTGTTATGATAATAAAATTAATCGAAATTTTTATTGTATATGTTAATTAGATTTATTTCATTCTCACACAACAAAGGTAATTTCTCATAACATCGTATTGTTCTCTGTCGATTTGCGATTTCCTAACAGTGATTTCACAAAGCGGTCCTATATTCTACCTCAACAAATGCACAGGCTGTAGCCCTGTTTACACTACAGAAACCTGGGTTCGCCCCAGGTTGAAACTAACCCAGGTTAGAATTGTGTAGTGTAAACACAAACTAACCCAGGTTAGCCCCAGGTTAAGGCCTGTTTATATGAGCCGGGCCAGCCCGCCTGACCGAGCTGGCTCGCCTAGACGAGATGAATTTTAATTGCGTTTATATGAGGCAGAGTTCATCTCGGCAAAGCGGGATGGCCTCGTATTGATTCAACTAATAGACTCGAGTTGATATCAATTTTTGGCGCGCTTGTTTTGTTTTTGATTAAAGAAGTTTTCAAGCACTATTCAAGCACCACACAAAATGTCGAGAAACAAAACGATTATTGCTCTTTGGATTTTAAAGTTAACTGGATTACTTTTGATGATTTCCCAGTTACATGGCTTGATGCTATTGTGTATTGCCTTGCAACGACACATACAAGAGTTGATGATTGCAGTGGAGCAACGAAAAAGAAAGTTTTGCCGAATCTCCTTTACCTTCTCCACAACTCGTTGATGTCCTCGTTGGAGATAACTGTTTAACAGTTTTTTCTCTTCAAGAAATGATCTCTTTCATCCTTTGATAATTCCTCTAAAGGCAGATCTGACGGCAAGAATTTCCACTGGTCCAAAAAATTCTGCTTGTTCCTGGTAAACCTTTACCATTTCCTTTCTCACATTTTTATACTGCATTGGCCTATCACCATCGAAATCTAGGCCTTTGAACTTCATTTTAACTTTGTACTCTCTCAAACATTCTATAAGGTTTCGGACCATTTCCGTTGTCCAGCGAAATTATTTTTTTTTCTCTGGAAGTCCACTTGGCATTGATTCTTCACCTTCGGTATAAGCGAACGCTGACATGATGAACAGATGAAACAGTGAAACGGAGATCGATGCGAATTGCGAAAAGAAAATTTGATAAACAAAGAAAATTTTGACCCAACACAACACAGTCACCCCGCGCTTGTGCAGAACATGCATTTTCATCTCGGTCAACCGGGCCAGCCCGCCTGGCACTGTTTATATGAGCTCGCCTTACCGGGATCCCGCCTGCCCAACTCACAGATCCCGGCTGACCGAGCTGGCCCGCTGCTCATATAAACGCAACTTGATTGAACAAAGGATGTTATTGTTTACTCAGATCTCGCCTAGGTGAGCAAGCTCGGTCAGGCGGGCTGGCCCGCCTCATATAAACAGGCCCTTAGTCAACCCATCTCAAAAGGTGGGTTCGCCCTAGGTCGAGCCTGGGTTAGTTTAGATAAAGCGTAAATGCAAAGCTGGGGCGAACCTGGGTTAGTTTCTTCAGGACGCATGCGTAGTGGCAGAAATGTTGCCGAGTGCAAACAAAGCAAAGCGCGAATGCACAGCTTTCTCATTGTTCACATGAAAAGCTAACCTCGCAGCAGTATCGATAAACAAAACGACCGTAATGGCTGGGGCGATGACATGAAAAATCACATGTTTCTAAAAACCCCCGCAAAGTCGCTTGCTTTAGCTCGATATCAAACTAACCCAGGTTCGCCCTTGATGCCTCTTATACTACAAAGTCGACAGTTTCCAGTGTAAACGCATCAGGGTTCGACCCAGGTTACTTTTAGCCTAGAGCGAAGCCGGGTTAACTTGTGTACTGTGAACAGGGCTTATGTATTTATTACTGGGGACACGGCTTCTGGTAGCCAGACCCCTGTCTGGAGCACAGGCTAGGCTTCTGCTCCCAGGCGGCACTCCGTCGACCTGCTTATTTGCAGTCTTTCCTTTTTGGCAAACTATTTTCAATAAATTTTGGCTCTTATATTTTCATCGATAATGAAAAACCATATTTTGGGCACTCTGTGAGAATGCTCGGGAAAATTTGGTCTCATCTTGCGATTTAAACGATTCTTAAAATTAAATAAATATCTGGTGTGACAGACAAACTAGGATCATGCATGCACCAATTGTTTTACGAAGCAAATAATTCCAGAGCTGCAATAAAGGGCGACAGAAGCCTTGGCCCCACTTTTGTCAGCCTTGCTCCCTCTCAACTTTCAAACTCGTGGCGTAGAACCTGACAGTCAATCTGACACACAGCAAAAAGGCTTCAAAAACAAGGATTTCCTTGATAAGTCCTTCAGGCTGACATTGTGAGTGGCGTGGATATGCTTCCAATGGCCAGAACTACTCGCTTGATTTTGACAATACCTTTCGTAAAACCACTTAAAAGGGGGTTTTGAAGTAACCCTTCATGCACCCTTAGCAGAACCTTGAAATAACATTTACGTAATACAAAAAACATATGAACAGACACTGATGCAATCACAGCACAATATGCAATTGTCACGTGCTATTGTCCGGAAGGGAAAATTTTCAAAATTTTCTGCAACAAATCAATGCATGCCTGAGGAAATAAACATGATTTCATATTTGCAAAGATTATGTTGAGATAAATAGCGCTGATATGGTAGCGGACAACTCCAAGAAGAATATATCACAAATTACATACTGTACATTTTGCACCACATGCCAATCTGCACCACAAGCCAAAACTTCCTCGAGTGAGTTCCTTTACAAATTTTCTAAAAATGAAGTATTGATGTGCATTGTGAGCAAAAGCAGAATTGGTACAAAAAGCACTACAGTACTAATAATTAGACTAGCTCCAGGCGCGGATCTAGGCCGGTTGCACAGGTTTCAAAAAACCGGTCAAGTTCTAAGAGCTATGTTTCTCTTTAAATCTTGAATTTTTGATCTAAATTTCAATTGCAACAATTGCTGCATTTCTCCCTGACTGACTACAGTTTTTCTGTTTATATACTGAATTGAACCTTCACAAGAGTTTGACAGAGTTCCCAGCTTTCTACTTCATCTTTTATCTCAAAGTATCCAACGAATTCAAAATCGAGCAAATCAGCAGCCATTCGACGTGACAGCTTGGAGTATGCTATCTATGCACCAATATTGAAACTGGTGGCTATTGTTTTCTGAAAACCTGTGAAAACCGGCGCCCATATATTTCCCTTATGCGAGAAAAACCAGTGACTAAAAAGCATACTCGACATCGATATCCATAGCTCGAAAGGATGGACGCTTTCAAACAAAATGATACAAAATGGAATACAGATGCAAATAAGAATCTGAGGTTTTTATATTAAGGGGAGTTGACGTGTTTTCTCGGAAAAATTCATGAAAATTAGAATCGAAGTTGCAAGAAGAGGATCAAAGGACATGCTGAATGGAGTAAAATTCTGGCATGATCCAAAAATTTGGCTAGATCCGCGCCTGAGCTGAAAAGAGTTTATCGGCCAACATTTTCGCTTGCCACGATAGTAACTGGCAAATCATTCACCGAGCTAGTAGCCTATGTGCAGACTCAACGGATCGGTTTACTACTCGACAGTTCTTTGTGAGAGACTTGAGTCTGCACGCAGGCTACGTGTGTTATGCTACCAACAGTTATAGCTTCTGAATTTCCGATCAAAATGATGGTCAAACTACTGAGTCTGCCATGGGATATTAGTCCACAGTCTTTCAAAGAAACAAGGGTAGACACAGACATCAAGTGTAAACATTTGTGGTCATCTTTTCAGGCATAGAAAAATCTTTATCTCTTATTTTAGTGTATTATTTCATTACAGAAAAAAAGAAGCGTTTGAGTTGAATGTGGAAAATATCATTGTTTTCGTCTACAGTTTCCTGCAACACGGGCGTTGCGGTACCCTGGGTACCAGACTCACTATTTTATATAGATAGCAATTTTATATAGATAAGATAGCAATTTTCTTGCTATGGTGCAAGCAGGGGCGGATATAAGCAACAATGATCGGGGGTGTTAGGCACTAATTTTGGTGCCACACCCTTAAAATCGCTGGAAATGATGGAAACGCCCATTTTTGAAATTTGGTTTTTAACTGTGGCGTAGCCAGGTTTGGAAGATTGGTAGGCCCAAGAGGACAATATTTTTGCTGATCACACTCCTAAGAATTTGGGAACACATCCATTTTGTCAATATATTTGAAAAAACCATGGCATTTTCACGTGGCAATTTCCCTTTATTCGACGTCATAGGTAGCTGACCATATTCTACACCTGTCTATTTCCTTCACAATTCCACTAAGGTTTATATCCTGAATTGTGTAAGGCCAGGAATCTCTACGTGTAAAAAGTGATTTTCCAAAGTTGTATTCAAATATCTGAAAAAATTAACAGTATTCAAAAGCTTTAAACCAAGTTCTTTTTTCCTTGGAGCAAAGTCTACGACAAGCATTTCAGAATCCAGTTTTTTAGGATTGGACTACTTTAGCATTTTAGTTTCTATTATATCAGGAGCGTCTCAAAAACGTGAAGACTTTTCTATACAAATCACAAAACGAGGGGACAGTGTTGAACATTCTGTAGAGAGATAGAGAAGGGTCTCCTGCGAGCAAAGCGATCAGAAAATTTTTGCGACGACGCCCTTGAAATTAGCTTAAAATACATTTGAAAATATCCCCCCGCTACGCTACTGATAAGATGATAAATACTGATAAAATTAGATAAAGTAAAGTCTTGGCGTTACTTTGTTACTTGTTACTATTGACTACCAGCAAATGATTTTTACTGAATGAAACAAAATTTACTGAAGGACACAGAACTATTGGGGGTTGGGGTTACGCACCCACTACACCCCCCGCTTAATCCGTCCCTGGGTGCAAGCGAAGCATCTGGGTAAAATAGCATGCATAGTCAGTTTGACACAACAAAAGATCTTCTCTTTGGAGAGCTTCTTGGTGAACTTTTGCTAAGCTGGAGATCTTTGAAAGGATATATCTATCATATGCAAGCCGCTCGCCGATTTCTTGAAGCCTCCAAGCTCAAATGCAGCCAGACCCCGGTATATCTCTTTGTTTTTTGTGAATCCTCTACTTTGCACTATTAAAGTCACACTAAATGTTGCATAAAAAGATGTTACTGTAAACAGAGCGTGACTGCAAACCGGGCTAAACTGGACAATTGTTTATGTTTGGAATAAAATGCTATGCGACTGTATCCAGCAGAGTAACCTTGAGCCGAGTGAAGAAAAGAGGAATCTCTTTCAACCTCTTAAACAGCCACATCAACTGTCGTTCTGCATTTATTTTAAAAAGTGTGTTGTATATATCAACACAACACTCCCACAACCTCGGTTTTCTCTTGCACATGGTTTAAAGTTTGAAAGAACAGGCCCGTCGGAACCGGGGGGCTGGGGGGGGGGGCTGGAGCCCCCAAATAATTGTCAAACTGTAGTATGTTTCCTTTATAACAGTGTACTGAATGAGAAGGAAACAATGGGTAGCCTCCCAATAGGAAGTTCGTTCCGAGGGCACTGAAGAATGTCATTTGCTTTTGGTCATCACCAGCTTTTTCAAAGACTTATGCAGGGCCTTCTTTCTTTCCTCGGACTCAGATCAGTGTTTTTTTTCTTTTTTTTTCTATTCGGTAAGAAAACTTACAATAACAATTTACCTAAAACAGTACGTACGAACTACTAAACTATATTACAAGGACGGAACCCAGGAGGGGCAATTTATCATGACTGCCCCCTGGGATATGACATGTATCTAAATATGACTAATAATAAAACTATAACACTGCATATGCATATACTAGATTATAATAATACATTCACAGTAAAATACAACATATACATATACGGTAAATACAATGGACGTTTGACATTGGACGCCACTGGAAAATATCTTTTAATGGTCGAGGTTTATACCTAATATAGAATTGATTGAGAAGATTGGTATGGAGTCAAGCTGGATAGTCATTAACATTATTAACAGATCAGTGTTAGCATGAAACTGAAGATCAGGCACGCCAGAGGGGGTGGGCTATAGCCCCTTCACATTTTTGCTGCAGTATGATATTCAGGTTGTTGCATAAAAGATAATGGTGGAAAAACTACCATGAAAGTTTACTATCCCCAACCCCAAACTCTGCTCAGGCGTCCCTATCCATCCTGTTGCAAAACGTGAGATATGAATGGGTCCTACGTTTCAAAATCCTTTTCTTTAATATTGTGTCCTAAAATGTCGTTTTGCATGATCTTCAAGACTGGGAGGCTGAGGGTCATCACGTGTTAAATTTACCGACGATGACATACATAAGGAAAATTAGATGCTATTTAACCTGCCTATATGCGTTTTTACCGACCAACTAAAGATTGTGTGGACCAACTGAAGATTTACCGACAAAAACATGAAGAATTGGGGCTGTTACATCCTCCTACACTTTCCTGCTAGCTACGTCCCTGTTAATAACCTATTTCTGTCGTTTCTCTGGCATATAGGCACGCAAATGAGTTGACCACAAAATGTTGAAAAGTAAATTTTTCAAATATGATATAAAAGAAAAAGTAAGAGAATGGTTTTAAGTCAAACTTAGCTAAGTGAAGTGGATGTAAGCAGTTTTGGTTTCTGTAAACGGTCAAAAGTCAATGACTGCGGAAGTTTTGTGCGGCGTTCACAAGGGATCATGCTTAGGTCCAGTGGCGGCGCCATCTACTGCAGAATGGGAAGATAATGGGCGTTGCCAGCAAGGTCACACCCTTTTTGCCTCGTTTCAGTTCTTTGATCTACCCCTACCTTGCAATGTCACACTTTTTAATCAATTTCTAGAAGAAATATGTGGACCATGTTTTGAAAAAAGTGGGGGAAGAGGTAATTGCCACTGCTAAGATCCCCCCCTGGGGATCTCCAAAGCAAATATTTATGCAAATGTTACACATACTTCACATCTAATAACATAAAGGATAGTATACATACAACAGCCGCATCTAATAACACATCTATGAAGGCATTTGATCAGCGTTGATAATCAATTCAAGCCCCCAAGAACGTTGTAAAGGGATATCGTTGTAAAATAACAATAATTACTACTTTTATTGTAGTGACGTTTCATTCGATTTTCTTGTATTTTATCTGTCTAAAATACAGTTGTCTCTGAATCTTCGTTTTAATATCGGAATTTTCCGTTGCATTCTTGTTCCTTTTTGTATCATCGTCGATGAGGGACAATGAATAGTTTTCCTCGAGACGATTTCAGTTACTGAATGTGAAAAGGTGTTCATTTGATTGTGGTCCAGAGAAATTAGATGTGACAGCCATATTATTTCGAAGAAGCAAAGCTTATCTGCATGATTATAGATTTATGGATAAACGCTAAAATTCCTCCTTATTGATTCCTCGTTCAAATTCTGCGGG